GGAGAGCTATCGTCTATCTCTGGTAAGTCTAGTGAGAGACCCAAGACCTGAACTTGATAGGTCCATAATTTGAGAAGCCAGGCTTTGGGAGTCTGGTTCTTTGGAAAGAGCTTTTAGCACTGCCACTTTATCCAGCAGAGTAGGGGCCCAGACTTGCTAAAATGCTTATCCTATTTCTGCCAGTCTGGGGTTTTCAAAAGTAAAATATGGGAGCAGCTAGAGAGGAGATGGGTAGAAGCTAAAGAAGCTAGCATCAATGCCTCCAGGCAGATGGGCCAACAGTGCATGGGGTAAGTCCACTTCTATAAATCTAGGCCTGCTGGTTGCTGGGCAAAGCCGAGCATTGCTGTGTAGAATAGGCTGGGTGCTTGGGCTCAGGGCCTGTCCAGCTGATTTTCAGCTCTGAGCCCTCAGGGGAGCCTCCCCAGGCCTACACTTCTGCGCTGGTACCTGGCACGAGGGGAGACATCTGATTTAACTGGACTGGGCCTTTCATCTCTACCATCCCCCAGCCCAACACAGAACCTGACACAGGATGGGGGCTTCGGTGAATATTTATTGAACAAATGATTGAATCAGTGAAACTGCAGAGATCTCCCATGGCTCTTATATGGGAGGCCGACTGTCCTACTTGTGACGCTGCCCTTTCTATTTCTCAGGTTGCAAGGGGCAAACATACTTATCAAGCACCTGCTGGTTGGCAGACACTGTACTGGGTGCTTGTGCCTTTATCATCTTTTTTAAAATCTTACAACAACCCTATAATTAGGTATTATTCCCATTTTACAGATGAAAACCCTGGGTGTTGTGAATATGTCATGTCTCAGGTCTAAAACAACTGTTAAGTGCCAGGTCAGGTCAAACCTGTCTTCAAAGCTTGTGATCTGCACTGTGAGCACGCTGCTCAGAGGAAGATTTCATCTGAATCACTGAATGGATGGGGAGACTCCATGGAGAATCTTTGAGGAAAGAACCAGCACTGCAGCCCGAGTCCTCAGGTGCACATCTTTAATCCGGCCACGGCCTCGCAGAGATTTTACCCCAGCAACTCTGTCACACTAGGAAATGTGTCTGTGTTAGGTCTCCGCCTCTAAGGAGACCAGCTGGGCAAGGTCTTCAAAAGCTAGTGATGGGGATCAGAGTGAAGGCATCCATGTGCTGAGCACACAATGGCTTAGCCATGCAGCGGGACGACTGGAGCTGCGGGCTTTGTGCAGAAAGGCTGGATATGGGAAATGGGTGTACTCAGCCAACCAGAGCCAATATACGTGGGACTATTTGCTTTTCAGCCTAATTGAAAATGGTCCCAGGTCAAACTCTATCAGAGAAGTTGGCCACTGAGTGGCAAAGTGATACTTTAATGTAGCAAGCTCTGAAGGGACCTGGCTGCCTGAAACTGACATTTACTATGTGCTGCGTTTGTCTTCAAAATTCTCAGGACTCCCCTAGCTCTAGTTGTTGTTTTACTTCCTCATGTAAATAAAAGGGACATTATTTTTCCTTTTCAAATCTACTGAAAGACAAATCCTAGCTGAGAGACCTTGATTCTGATATCAAAGTTTTAGAATCTACTTGTTTAGTATCTTACTTTTCCTGTTATCGATGTGGGTGACGTGCGAGACGTGGGCAGAGCCCTGGTCTGGAAGTCACGGCCCTTGGAGCTCAGTCTGGACTCCAGCACCAATTGACTGGGCAATCCCAGGTCTTCTCTGGCTTTCAGGGCTGGACTTGAAGAGCTCTAAGAACCCCAAACAACCACCATGGCCTCATGCTTCCTGAAGCTAATGATGGGTGACAGCATGTCTCTTGTAAACTACAGATGCGGAAAGGGGGAGCAATCTCTGTCCCTCAGTGGGCAGGCCTTGGGACTTTGGGAAGATCCAAAGAGAGGGAACTGATGCAAGATGCTACAACCTCAGAGTCAGAGAAAGAAATGATGATCTTAATGAGAGCTCAGGTGGAGGGGCTCTAATGGCCTGGGGTGAGGGTGGGAGGCAGGGGGCGGGTGAGGTCTCAGCTATAGGAGCCTGGAAGGCAAGGTGACTGCTGTTTGCTCAGTCCAGGTGCTGAACAGTGTCTCCAACCATCGTGGGGTCTGTTGTGGGCAGTGACTCAAGTCTCCTAGGTGGAGGACTGGCAGTTGAGCTGGACTGAGCTGGGTGTGCAGCAGGTGCAGAAGCTGGAGCTCCCAAACCCTATCAGCACAATGGCTTTTTAGTTCATGAACAGTTTCCTCACCTTAATTGGCTCTCTAGGGCCCCGGGAGTAGCACTGGCACCTCAGAACGGTGCCTGTTACTGGGAGAGCAAATCCCCTGGTACGGGGAAGGAGGCAGGCTGCGTTCTGGGGGATGTGCTAGCTGCTGCCGGCACTGCTCGGAAAGATATAGCTAGAGTAGATTTGCTGAGGCTTCCCTCAGTTCAGGGTAGCCGTGATTGATGGACAGGGTCTTGGAGGGCCCCTTGTCTACTGGAACTCTCTCATTCAAGGGGGACCAGCCATGGTTGACTGCTGTGGAGGCTAGAGAGCAGGGAAGAGCTTTGGAGCTTATCTCTAATCCCTTACTACATAAAGGGAGCATCGGGATTCCAGAAAGCCTTAGAATTCTGCTGAATGCCAGAGTTATTACAGAGCCTGAAAAAAAATTCAGCTCCTTTGCCTGCCAACCCAGGGCTTGCCTGGACTTGAGGGCCAGTAGGAACTGCAGACCTAGAGTAGGCTGCTGCCCTTGGTTCTCCCATTGTCTCTCTGTCCGGACCCAGTTGGAAATGGGGACAGTGGTTTTGCATGAAGTATGTCAGTACAGTCCTTGGATTGACTCTTGAGATTTGAAGTGAAAGAAATAGAGGTGCCTGTCTCTCAGATGAGATGAGCCTAGTTCCATCCTACCTGTGCCTTCTGCATTCTGCTATGGGCTCTTTCTTGGCCCCGAAAGCTTGTTTCGCAGTCTGCTGGTCCTATGAACATGAGCTCTGAAAGCTGTGGACCACCGTCTCCTGCCTCAGCCTATCACTTAGCTTTCATGCCTGTGTTCTGACTCCGGCTCAGATGGGCCACCTGGCCCTGCCCCACACTCTCTGGATCCCCTTGCCTAACCTCACTTTACCTCTTGCCTCTGTGTGTTATGCTCTCAAATCCTCTAGCTTCAACCCTGATCACTCTCTTCTGTTGTGGGCCTGCAGCTCTAGCTACCTAAGAGGCTCTCAGTTGCTTACAGTTCAGAACAGACACTTAGCATGGCCTTCAAGGCTCTTCCCGATCTGACTCCAGACTAACTTTAGAGCCTCATCTCTGTCACTCCTCTCCATGAACCAGCTTTACCAATCTTTCCCCTAGAGGCCTCACATTTTGACATCTGCAATCCTCTGTTTATGACGTTCCCTCCTCCTGCAATACCCTCTTCTTGTTCAAGTGTGCCAAATGGAAGGTTGGCTCAAGCATGACCCAGTTATCAGAACTCGAGCATGCAGGGATGGAGGTAGACTTGGAAATAAGCAGGATCCCCATTACCAGGATTGAACCCCCAAAGGTGAGGCTAGACAATTGAAGTAGCCATTGCTTTAGGCCAGGGACCAGCAAACTTTGTCTGTAAAGGGCTAGATAGTAAATATTTTTGGCTCTGTGGGTCCTACAGGCTCTGTTACCATTACTCAGTGCCGTCACTGCAGCGCAGGTAATTCGGGAATTGATGGGCATGACTGTGTTCCAGTAAAACTTTATTTATAAAAATGGGCAAGCTGTGGTTTTCTGACCACTGGTTTAGGCTCTGCCTGGGGAAATTGGATGGATTTGAACCTGTGAGTGGCATCAAGTAGGAATATCTGTGTAGGAGCCAGACAGGGCCAGACTCTGGAAGGGAACTGCAGGGAGGGAATAGTATTAGGATGAGGCATATGGAGGCAAGGCAGGAGGAAAAGGACGGAGTTAATTTTGGCCACAATCTAGGATTGTTCGAAGGAAGGCAGTGGGAACTCTGGAAGGGAAATTTGGGGACACATTGTGAAGGGTCATGACCAATTTCAGCTATTCTATAGGCAGTGGGGAGACACTGGATATTTTTGATCAGTGGAATACAATCAGATCTGTATTTTTGGAAAGTTATTCTGGCTTAGTGAGAAGAATGACTGGAGGAGGCAAGACTGGATGCAGAAAGCCCTGTTGGGCGGTCCCTGCAGTTGTCCTGGCCATTGCTTCCAGCTTACAGGTCCTTGAGCCAGTGCCGGTCTGAATGCTTAAGAATCACTGGGGTAACTTGCCAAAAATATAGATTCTTGGTCCCACACCCACACCCGAGAGATCTGAATTTGGTAGAGTGAGGATTTCTAACAGACCCTCCAGATTGGTGAATCACTCACTGGTCCAGCAAAGCAGGATGCAGCCTGACCTAAAGAGGCTATGGATGCCAGAGAAAGTAGGGCACATGTGAGATGGGGTTTGGCAACCACTCTCCCACCCTCTCCCTGCTCTTACCTCTGGTTCTGACAGCCCTCCATGTGACTCCTTATTCTTCACACACCACCACTCCCTCCCACATCCTTTTTTGCTCATGCCCTATTGGTTCTCTTTGAAACAACTCTTCTGTCCCTTTCTTTCCATTGCTACCCTTGTTCGGGATCCCACTACTGCTAAACAGGACAAGTTCTCCCTGACTCCCCAGTCCCCTGTTCATCAAGATAATCATAAAGCCCAGCTCTGTCCCTCTCCAGAGCCTCTGCTTTTAGGATAAATGTCAAGTTCCTTAGCTTAGCATTCAGGGCCCTTCAGGGAGCTTACTCTCCTGCCAGTCTTTTCAAGCATATTCCCTGCCATTCCCCACCCATGCTTTTGCAATTTTCCTATGCTCTGTGCTTTTACAATTCTCCTGTACTTGTAGTTTTGCCCGTTCCTAATGTCTTCCCTCCAACTCGACCCTGCTTTTCCTTCCCCTTTCTCTCCCCGCTTGAGTTCCACTGTATCTCCCCAGGGTGGGGGCAGGGATGGTAGAGTTAGCTGCCAAGGGACACCTCCAGGACCTTTGTGCATCATAAATGTGTGTCTTCCCCATCCGAAGTCCTAATCCTCCACTTGTGACGGACAATTGGTCACTATGGCAACTGACTGTGACGTCACAGAATAAGGACTTCAGGTGAAGTGGCAGGAGCAGGTGAGTGTGTAGGAGATAGATTTTAATGTCTGTCGAAGGTCTCCCCCCCCCCACACCCTCCTTCCGTGCCGGGGGCACGGAGGGCTATCTCGGGCTCCTGCTGATTTTTAAAATGATGCGGTGAGAGCGTGTGCCTGGCATCTGCGTGCTGCAGCAGTGTGGGGCTGACAGAGTGTGTCAACTTGAGCTCTGGGTGTGCAGACACCGCGCTGCTGCGTGAGCCTGTTATTCCGTTCTGGATTGCTATTTTGATACCCAGATTGCATCATTCTTCCTACGTATAAACAGGGGGTCCCCAGGGCCCTGCAGCTACTCACTTCTCCACCAACACTGTTGTTGTGATGAGCTCTATTTAAATGAGCTGCCGGATCGCGGCAGATTCCAGCCATACATGAGCACTGTCATTTTGGGGAACATGGAGGGCTGAAGGATTTTTGGATCGAGTCCTAAAAGGCTGAGAGTGATGGCCTCCTGAGCCGTGCAGAGGGCAGCAGAGCTAGTTCCTGAAAGTTGAAAATCTCGTTTTCTTCCTTCTGAGCTTCTATTCCAAGGCACCCAGAGGATTAGGAAGGAGATGCAGCTAGGAAGAGAGTCGCCTCTTTGAGGTCTCCCTCTTGCTGTTCAGTTTGGGAAATTGCTGCAGAGCCTTCGAGATAAACAGGAACAGGAGGAGTCAACCAACCTTTTCTTGCAGGAGCGTCTCAGGTGAGCTGGAGAAATGCAGCCCTGGCTGAGGATGCATCAGAGAAAGGAGAGGACCCAGGGTGCTCCCCTTACCCCACCCAGGACCCAGTTTCCCAAGGGTTAGGCCTGCAGCCCAGTCGGCTGCAGCACGCAGGGTGGGTGTGCCCGGGCACTTGGTGAGCGCGGTCCTCTGGGACCTGTGGTGGTCTCACCTGTCGCTCTTCTGACTTCTCTCCCAGGTGTTGCTCTCATCACAAGGCAGCAGGGCCACGGGTAAGCCTGCTGGCAGCCAGGGGCAGGAGCAGCAGTCCCCATAGGATCGAAGTCTGTCTTTCTAGCAGGGACTAGGCATCTCGGGAGTGGGTGCAGTGTGTTTCTAGACGGGGTTGCTGCTTTGAGTTATGGGCTAGGGGAAGGCTGCAGGGGCTTGTGTGGTGGGGGGCTTAGCTGGTGCCTAGTACCTTGGGCTACCCTTGGGTGGGAGGGCAGGAATGGGTAGTGAGGATGGCCAACATGCCAGAGGATACCACCAGAGGGTTTTTTTTTTTTTTTCTCCTTGCCTAGTGACTGACAGAGGCATAAGGAGGTAGAATGTCTTACTCGTGGTTACAGAGGTGGGTAATCAGGGACTGCTCAGTGGTTCAAGGAAGTACCTATATTTTATAAGGGCTCCGTGGCTTTCAGTTAAGTCCCTCCCTCTCTCTGAGCCTCCATGTCACCATCTGTATGGTGAGGGATCTGGCTACATGCAAAAAGCTAGGTCTGTCCAGCTTTGGTTCTACAGGTGAGACCTGGCAGGGAGCGTCAGGCTGCTTCCGAGGATGCCACTGCTCTGTGGGAGTCAGAGCTTGGGCCCCAGCTGTAAAGTTCCTTGGAGTCATGGACAGGAGCTGTAGAATGAAGGGCTTCTTAACCCTTGGTGGGCTGCATAGCACCGGGCTCAGGCTTATGTGTCTGGGGTTTATGTGTCCCTACCCGGTGGGCTGAGCTGACCCAATGCTAGCTTTCTTAAACCTTGGGATTTCTCTCCCAGCCTAGGCCCCTGGTCCCCAGGTTGCCTTGGCGCTGCTGTCCATGTCTGAAGGGTGGATTACCCAGTCTTGACCCCCCCTCCTTTGCTGCCCCACTAAGTCCTGAGCTCAGCACACTCTAGGCCCCAGCAGCAGTGGTTGTAGTGCCAAAGCTCAGGCGGCCTCCCAAGCCCTTAGATTGTGGGTCCTTCAGTGGAGCGGGGAGTTAGGGGAGGCAGGATGTGTCCTCCAACTCACCACCAATCCCCAGGGTACCCAGGTATCAGGACACCCTGCTGTCTGTCAGGAATCTGCCCTCTTCCCTTCCCTGCCAGAGGGGAGATACATCACAGCTGCATTCAGTATGTTTCCTAACTTTGAGGAGCCTCTTTAAAACTGGGTGATCCAGCCCTTCTCAGCTGCATGGTACGGGGAAAGAGCTATCAGGCTCAGGTACAGGGGCAGGGGATGCTCTAAGGTGCTGGTTCTCAAACATGGTTGTATATTGTAATCACCTGGGGAATTTTAACAAATACTTATGCCTGGATTCCACCTCCTAAAACTTCAATTTAGTTGATATGGACTGGACATCAGGATGTTTAAAGTGCCCCATAGGATTCAAATATGTAACAAAGTTTGAGAACCACTGGTTCTATAATATGAAACTATCCCCAGATTTATTACCAGGTGGAAAAATCTTCTTCACCTACCTTTCCTCAAAGATCGTATTTCTTAAAACTTGAAGCACAGATGGGGCTGGCTCCCAGCTCCTTCCTTCTGGATTCCCATAATCCAAAGCTGGGTTCAGGTCATTATTAGAGTCTGATCATTATTATGGAATATTTTACTTACAATAAAATTATCAAATTAATTAAAACAAAGCTACCTTGTTTACACTTGAATTAGAGAGCTATAGCATAATGGAAAGGGCTGGATTTTAGAATCAGAAAGACTTGGATTCCAATCATAGCTCTGCCCCTGTTTTGTATGATCTTTGCCAGGTGGCAACTTCTTAGAGTCTCAGTCTCCCCAGCTATGAAATGGGGATAATGCCTGCCTCTCAGAGGTGATTTGACGATTGAATGAAATAACACACATAAAGGTCTGGTGCAGGGACTGGTGGTAAGAGAATCATCTGCCCCACGCCTCCCAGGGACCAGAGTGCTCACTCTTATGACAGGCAGACTGAATACCTTGGGCTTTCAGAGCTTCTCTCCCAGGCCCCTAGATCCCCAGGAGAACTCTGGTGCCTGTGACTTCTTCATTTGGGAGGCAGAAGCCCCACTTCCTATAGGGATGGTTGTGTGTGGCCTTTGGGTCCTGGCTCTACATTGCTCAGAATTGATATTCCTGTGTATGAAATAAAAGCTTAAGGCTATTATTTGAATAATCCAAGTAGAGAAAGGGAAGTGTATATAAATATTTTATGTAATATGTGATTTAAATATGTATTAATAACTAAGTATTAAATATTAAGCATTAAATATCATAAGCAGATGTTTGGTTATTTTATATATATATCTGCAGCCGTACGGCTTCATGTATCCCAGTTATCTCAAATAAAACTTTGGGGGCAGGGCGCCTGGGTGGCTCAGTCGTTAAGTGTCTGCCTTCAGCTCAGGTCATGATCTCAGGGTCCTGGGATCGAGCCCCATGTCGGGCTCCCAGCTCAGTGGAGAGCCTGCTTCTCTCTCTCCCTCTGCCTGCCGCTCTGCCTACTTGTACTCTCTATCTCTCTGTCAAATAAATAAAAAAATCTTAAAAAAAACCAAACAAACTTTGGGGGCACTTGGGTGGCTCAGTCAGTTGAGCATCTGACTCTTGATCTCAGCTCAGGTCTTAATCTCAGGGTCGAGAGTTCAAGCCCCGCATTGGGCTCCACACTGGGTGTGGAGCCTAATAAAAAATAAAAAATTTAAAAATTAAAAAAAATTTTGTTTTGGTATTCACGTTGAAGAATGGGGAACCCTCTTGAAACAAAAGCTCAAAGTTAACACAGCTTGTTGGGGGTTAGGGACCTTCTGAAGGAAGATAAGAATTTCTGGACAAAGATGCTGTGACCCGGGGCACCTGGGTGGTGCAGCTGGTTAAGCTTCCAACTCTTGGTTTCAGCTCAGGTTGTGATCTCAGGGTTGTGAGACTGAGCCCCATGTCAGGCTCGGTGCTGAGCACAGAGTCTGCTTGAGAGTCTCTCTCCTCCCTCTGCCCCTCCAGCTTATGTGTGCACCCCCCCTCAACATAAATAAATCTTAAAAAAAAAAAAAGATGTTGTGACCCAAAGAGAGCCCATGTCCTCTGTGTCCACTCTGGGCCCCACAGCCTCCCTGGGACCTGCTCGTATCACTGCCATGGTGCCCCAGCTCTGCTGTTTGCCACAGCTGCCCCACTTCAGTGGGATGAGCTTTGAGATGTAGCCTCTCCTAAGCCATAAGCCTGTCCCCTGACTTGCTCACAAAGGTGATAGGCAGGTCACTGTTTGGCTCTCTGCCCCATCCAGTCTTGCCCAGGGGAATATTTCTGATCCTTGGGTGCAGGAAGCAGAGGAAGAGGGTTGGATAAACCACAATTCCCTGCTATTCCTATTCCCTTCATTTTAAGGAGGTAGAAAGTAAGGTTCAGGGGGAAAGGGATCACTTACCTGAGGTTACACAGATAGTGCCAGCCCTGGGCCTGGAACCCACATCTCCCAGTACACAGCCTTTCCCAAGCACTGCACCTCTGCTCTGGATTGGACCTGATTCTTTATCATCCTGGCTGGCTTTTTTTCTCATCACCCTGAAAGCTTCCAGATGACTTCTTACTACTTTCAGTGGCTGTGAGTGCAAGGAATACGCACGGGATACCCAAACCCAAAAGAAATAAAATTGTCCAATCTGCTAAAAATCACGCAGTATCCTTTAGTGCCAATTGTGGATTATTTTTGTATGCAGACATATGAACAGATAGTTAAAATGCAATGCGATATTTGTCATACTAGAAGGCTGTTCAGGGTGCTGTGGGAACCCAGAAGAGGGAATAATTAACTCATCCTGAGGGAAATCAACCCTGCTTCTCCGAGGTAGAACATTCAAACAGGTTTGAAAGGATGAATAGGAGTTTATCTGAAAAGGAAGGGAGAGGGAACAGCGTTAGGCAGAGGTTTGATATTCAGAAGACAGCAGAGATAGTTGCCCTGGCAAGGACACAGGGTGTGTGGCAGGTGAAGTGGAAGATGAGACTAGAGAGAGGTAAGGCCAGCTTGGAAGGGTCCGTGAGTACCAAGATGAGGACTTTGGCATTTAAGGCCAGGGGCAGTGGAGGATTTGCTGTGAGGCCTTGTCTGATCTCTTCAGTTATTTCTCTTTTTTCATGATGCTAATGAGACTGATGTTTGGGCATCTGCTGCCAGGGGCTTAGAAGCCTTGTGGAAATCATTTTCAACAGATAGAGCAGCATTTCTGAATCGAGGGTAGATGAGTAGGGTCTCCCCGGGACGAGCCAAGGGGAAGGGAGGGACAGTCACCTGATTCCCCAGGGAAGAGCATTTTTCTTCACCTCTGGCCACTGTTCTTGACAGGCAGGAGACTATCTAGGAGATGGCTCTGTGAAGGCTGAGGAGAGTTTCTTCAGTGGGGAGGTTAAGGGAGGGGTAGGGGAGAAAGAGTATTGAATTATTACTTTGCATGATACTGTGGATTTTGATTTTTGCAGGATAGATCAGTTAGCTTTTGCTGCATTATGAGACACTCAAGAATGAGTAGTTAACAAAAACTGTATTTTATTGATGATTCTATAGGTCAGCAATTTGGACTGGGACTCTCCAGGTGGTTCTTCAGGGCTTGGCTAGGCTTGGCTGGGCTTGGCTAACCTCGGCTGTGTTCACTCCTGTGTCTGTGTTCAGCTGGTGAGTCAGTTGGGGCTAACTGGTTTGTGAGTGAGCCCTTGAGACAACCAAGGCATTGGTCTGCCTGGTCTCTCATCTTACAGCAGATCTGACCTGGGGTTGTCCATGTGGATAATCTTAGAGTTCTGAGAGCAGAGCAGAATCATACAAAGCCACTTGAGGTCTACACTTGGAACTTGTTCAGTCTCACTTCTGCGGTGCTCTGTTGGCCAGAGCAGGTCACGAAGGCCGCCTAGCTTCCCAGGGTGGAGGATAGACCCCCACCTTTTAATGGCTAGGATTGGACGAGCATGGATGCAGGGGCAGAAGAACTTATGGCCATATTTTCGCTTGACCTCTCCGGCTCTGACTTTGATCACCTGGGAGAATTGATAATTGAGGTCCTGGCCTTGCCCTGAATGGGATATGAGAAATCTTTTGAATTCAGTCAACATTTGTGGAGGATCAGGTGCTTTCTCAAGGATTACAGAATTTAAACCTCGAGGCAACTCTTCTTTTCCCTTCCTATTTTACATCTGAAGAAACTGGAGCACAGAGGAGCTAAGTGAGATTAACTGACTTGCCCAACCAAGGTCACTCGTTGGTAAACCGGTATTTAGACTTTGGTTGGTCTGACTGCAACTGCCATTGTATCATTTCGATGATATGGGGCCGAGAAGATTGTGGTGGTCGTGCTGCATTCACTGCCATAGCTACCGCTTTCCAGGTGGCCCTCATGCCTGGGTAGAGGCACCTGACCCTACTCAGGAGCCTCATTTCCTTGCATGCAGTGGGTTTCCTGCTCTTGAGGTGGCCCAGAGAGCACTCTCGTCTCCATGATGCTTATATAGTCCCGGTTCCCCCTATGCTGAGGAAAGTGTTGGAGACAGTTACATTTCTCTAGGGAAAGGGGGTAGGACAAGATGTTCATGTTCACAGGTGAGAGATACACATGTGCAGTGCATGCAACATGGCTGGATGGAGAAGGCCCAGCGAAAACTCTTTGAGCCCCATGGGCAGACTGATTGGTATTGGCGGTAGTAAGAGAAAAATACCTCCTAGATGAGCAGGCAGGGAGGCCTTGCTTTCTCTGGGGAGAGCTTGCTCGAAGCTCTAGCTGTGAGATCTTTAAAGTTGTTCTGCTGTGTGGGAACCTTAGTGGCTAGATCTATGCCCTGGGCTAAACCGAAACCCTGGAACTTAGGCAGTAACAGGAGCTGGGCTCTCAGAGCTGGGGAATGAGGAGTGGGAGCAGCAGGAAGGCACCCAGTTATCAGAACCAGAACGGGGCTGGGCCTGTGCTAGAATAGCTTGTGAGGAGGGCAGGCAGGTAGGACCTGCGAGGAGGTCTGTAGGGCTGGCCCCTACTGGGATGGTCATGTCCAGAGTACCCAGATGGTAAGTGCAGGCCATGACGTCAAATGTAGTTCATTTTGGCATAAGTGGTATTGGCATATACCTTGGTGTTGTGTATTAAAAAGCCTCATGTCTAGGCCTTATGTATAATCTGCCATATTGCCCTGACTCTGCTTTTTTGCCCCTCTCCCAGAACTCATCTCCTGTCCTGGGTGTAAGCGAGTATACCTTACCAGGGATGTAACTGAACATTTTTTTCTGTGTGCTTCTACTGGGCGATCCAAGATGGCCAGGGTAAGTCCAGACAAGTAAAGAAATAGCTGATCCTTTTCAGAAATCTTTGGGGCCCCTGTTCATAAATTCACCTGTTCACCCATCACTTCATTTGACTCGTTACTCCCCCATCAATTTGCCTAATCATCCACCCATCCACCCACCCATCCACCCATCCACCCATCCATCCACCCCTCCATCCATCCATCCACCCTTCCTTCCTTCCTTCCTTCCTTCCTTCCTTCTATCCACAGAGTATCAAAATATTTGAGTTGGGGAAAGTAAAATGGGGGTATTTTTTCTCTCTCTTATAGCTCTTACTGGAAAATATTAGTACTGAGCTTTTATTTCCTTTTTTTCTCCCGCTGAGTTGAAACTTAAACACCAGCTTAACTAAATGGGTTCCTCAATTTTGCCCGTATTTAGCAACTAATACCTTCTTCCTGAGTTTCTAAAATTTCACATCACTTACCGACTAGCACCTCCTATTCCTCTCTCCTCTGGGGTACCCTTGCCCCACTGCATTTGATCCACTTGGCCAATCTACTTACTTGATCCTGTATCTAATTCTTATTGAATGTCTGGTACATGCCGGGCCCTGGGCTAGGTGCTAGGGAGATGGACACCCATGTTCTTAACTCTCAAGGAATTCATAGTTTAATTAGTAAAACTTGTATTTCTCTTCTTTTTTCCCCCACTGTGGGTTTGTCAGATGCCAGCATGAGGGCACTGTCAGAATCCACGTCATTTTGACGGCCTGTATTATTCAGGCCCAGATAGGCCAACTTTTTCCAAATCTCCTTTTTTACTCATGTTTTTACATCAGCCCTGCAAGATATTTGCTGACCGAATGAATGAACATCTGGTCTAGGAGAGGACTAGGTTCTCTTGGGCACAGCAAGCCCCAGCTGTGGAAGCACGGCTCTGAGAGTTGGTCTGTACTTGCTCTTTCTCGGCCATATGTGACCATCTCTACTCCCACAACTGTGGCTGCCCCCTTTTTGCAGGCACATGGAATTTTCTGTTTTGCCTGTGCTCTCCCATCTCACTCTCTCGTCTGCCTGGCAGACTTCTACTTGTCATTCCCTATCCAATCAGAAGTCCCCTCCTCATGAAATTAGTTCCTGGCACCTCCAAGGCTGAGCCCCTGGGAAACCCCACTTTGCTTCCTTAGCACTTGCTGTGGCCTTTTATCACAGCATCTCCCACTGGCCGTGACCGGCCGCCACCCCATATGCGGGGAGCCCCCCTTTGCCTTACTTACTCGGTGTCCTCATCTGCAGCATGGGACTTGGGGGGCATAACCCCTGAGGCCCCTCTTGTTTTAGCCACAGAGGGTACTTTGCTTCACAAGCCGCCGTGCGGCTCTCCAGAATACACTGCCCTCCAGGCTCCCAGCCCCCCACAGAGGCCGCCCCCCCTTGCCCTGGAGGAGGATCGGGTCAGTGACCGCAGACCTCTGTGCTTGCAGAACTGCTCCGAGTGCAAGGAGAAGAGGGCGGCGCACATCCTGTGCACCTACTGCAACCGCTGGCTGTGCAGCTCGTGCACCGAGGAGCACCGGCACAGCCCTGCCCCCGGGGGCCCGCTCTTTTCCCGGGCCCACAAGGGACCGCCAGGTAGCTCTCCCTGCAGTCCTCGCTGGCTCACGCGCCCCGAAGCAGCGCCCGACTGCAGACTTCTGGAGAGCGGCTCTTTCTCACCTTGTTTCCCTACTGGGGGTGCGGGTAGGGGGTGGCCTCCCAGCCTTTCCCAGAGGACAAGTTCACGCTGGGCTCTCTCTTGGGGAGGGGAGGGAGAGGGGAGGGGGGTTGTGAGCCAGATGTGCGGGGAGGAGTAGTCATGAATTATCACGGGAGCCAGCTGAGTTCCCTACTTTCACCTCCATTTAGAGCAGTCATGCCTCACTTCTGTTTAGTGACTTGCCTAATTAAACAGCCCAGATCAGGGCTTATCCATTTGTCTATCCAGTGCCGCTTGTTTTAAATGACAGTCTCCTTGACCGTCTTTGCCCAGGGTCTTTGAACTGTGGGAAGGGTTTTACCTTTGTGACACCCACAGGAACCAGAGTTAATGATCCATGTGATCTGGCCTGGAGCCCCCCCCACCCCATTCCACCCCCACCAGCATCCTGGTGAATGAAGAGGTTTAGGTTGAATTTTAGAGGATTCATCACTCTGCAGGAGATCCGTGTGCTGCAGCAGCAAGCACTTTCCTCAGCCGTAGGCAGGCAGTGGGGTGCCTGGGGTGCCTGGGGCTGGGCGATGTGTGATTTCTGCACAGCTGGGCAAATCCTGCCCGGCTCAGCTCGCATTCTTCCTTGGGCTCCTAAAACCTCACTGGCCCAGAGAGAGGCCTCTCCTGTCTGCACCACCTTCCCTCCAAACTCTGGGTCTCCCCTGTGTCAGTTGAGGGTGAGGGCTGCTCAGTGGAGCTTACCTGAGAGTCTTCCCCAGCAAGAGAAGCCCACTTTGTCTATCTTCTCTGGCAGGAGTGAGTGGTGGTTCCGGAGACTTCGCCTTGTACTGTCCTCTACACACACAGGAAGTGCTCAAGCTATTCTGTGAGACCTGTGATGTGCTTACGTGCCATAGCTGCCTCATGGTGGATCACAAGGAACACAGGTGTGGCTGCCTGGCTGCCCAAAGGGGGCTCAGGAGGTCTCTGGGCTCTGCTTTGCTAGCCCTGGGCTCCCAGTGTGTCATGTCAAAATGTTCTCCCTGCTTATGCCAGTCTGGGGCCCTGAGGCCGAAGTTTTTCCTCTGCTTCCGCTGTGGGCCTTCTCTGGAGAAGGCTCGAAGGGCCAAGACTCAGCACTTTCCCTAGATGTAATCCTAGCTTCTGTGGGCCTGGCTGAGACAATGCACAGTGGGGGTTCTTGCTTGGCTGGGATGCTCAGAAGACTCGGTCCTCTTCAGCTTTTTCTCTGTCTCCTTCTTTAGGTGCAGACATCTTGAAGAAGTTTTGCAAAACCAGAGGATGCTTCTAGAAAGTGTGACTACACAGGTGGCTCATAAGAAATCTAGTCTACAGACATCTGCAAAACAAATTGAGGACAGGTAACACACACAAATTGAGGACAGGTAACACAGCCTTGCCAATGCTGGAAATGCTACGTTTCCTGACCTCCTGGATCCTGATACCAGGCTATCAGATGTAGTACTTATGAAGAATGCAGGAGGTTAAGCAGATGTGGGCAGATGTCCCAGAAGGCATATGTCTTGGAACTTAGAGGTCTTGTGGCCACTGAAAGGGCTTTGGGTCATCACTTGGTAGATGGAACCAAGCTCAGTCAGGATGATCAGTGTGAGTAGCACATGCCTTCTGAATGTGGCCATGACATAGCCAGAGGTAGGTCCTCGAGAACGAGGGCATAAAGCAGATTCTGGGTTTATCACGAGGATGCAGTAAGTCAGTGGCAATCTGCCCTTTATCCACCCTTTCCCAGTGTGTTCTGTATAAATCTACAAGTGATATGGAGCCATTGATATTTAATGTGGGAAAAGGAATTAGTAGGTACTAACAGCTCATCATGTGGTGGGCACTGGGTAGGGCATCTACATGCATGATTTTGTACAATTCTTATAATTCTTTGAGTTGGATTATCTCCATTGTACTGGTGAGGAGACTGAGGTTCAGAGAGGGCAGGTGATTTGTCTGAGATCACACAGCTAGTCAGTGACTGAACTGGATTTGGAAGCCAGATCTGTGTGACTTCAAAGCCCATGTTCTTTTTTAAAAAAAACTTCACTGATATAAGTTATATACCATAACATTGCCCTTGTAAAATGTACAATTCAGTGGTTTTCAGTATATTCATGGAGTTGTGTAAATCAGTATTACTGTTTACTTTTAGAACACTTTATCACTCCCAAAAGACAACTGATACACCTTAGTAGTCCATTCCCCATTCTCCACAATATCCCCAGCCCTTGGCAACCATTAGTCTACTTTCTGTCTCTGCCCATGCTGTTTTTACTGCATGGCATTGTTTAATGGATATCCACCTTTTTAACACAACAGATGACATGACTCACTCTCTCTGTGCCATCTCCAATGTTGTGTAACCAGTGAACTGCTGGGTTGACCTGGGTGTGGACCTGAGCTTTACCTAGAGAAAACCTGGTTGAGTTTCAGGCCGTTGGCCCACTTAGATCGAGTGGGCTGGGTTGTACCAAGGTTAGGGTGGTGGAGGAAGGTTCTCATTTCTTTATATTTGGTGCCTGCTGGGCCCTGATCTTCATAGGCAGCCTCTAAGTTGTTGGCTGTTATGTTTTCTCTCTCTAGGCTCTCATAGGCCTGGAGGGAGGAGCTCACCATGCTCTGTCCTGTTCTGTTTATAGGATTTTTGAGGTGAAGCATCAACACAGGAAGGTGGAAAACCAAATCAAAATGGCCAAGATGGTTCTGATGAATGAGCTGAACAAACAGGCCAACGGGCTCATAGAGGAGTTGGAGGTATATGAGGACAGATGGGTCATATGGATGGGCTGGTGTTCTCCCTAGGTCAAAAACCAGGCACATATCAAACTAGTCCCAGGGCTCAGAGATGCCTGAGCTGGATTCGGATGTGCAGTTTGCATAGCTCTCTACTGTTCCCTATATCTTAAAATGTCCAGTCTCATTTGGGGAGCATGGCTTGTTAAGGGCCAGAAAGTCAGTTCAAACTCCCATCAGTGCTATGGCTTTAAGGCAACTCCTTCCTGGACTGTGCAGGCTTCTAGCCTCAGAAGAGAGGGCCGTGAAACAAGTTATGCCCGAGAGATGTGGACGTTTGTTCATGTCCTCATTCATTTATCACCCATTCCCTATTGGCACTATAAAATCCACCCACCGTGCTCCCTTCCTTCTTGCGTCCCTCTGCCGCCCATGGCAGCAGTCTGTCCCACTGTCATCCTTTCGGGGGCGCAGTCTCGTCTGACCCCATCAGGGTTCACACTGAGACACGGGGCCACCAGACTCCCCAAACAGGTGGACTGAAGTCCAAGAACAGGATGAGGGACTCTGTCTTCTCTGTCCACACCCAGGGCATTACTAACGAGAGAAAGCGGAAGCTGGAACAGCAGTTACAGAGCATCATGGTTCTCAACCGTCAGTTTGAACATGTGCAGAACTTCATCAGTTGGGCTGTCTGCAGCAAAACCAGTGTCCCTTTCCTGTTCAGCAAAGAGCTGGTAAGAGCTCCAACTCATCAATCACTGCTTTTGGGTTAGTAAGTGAAACGTATCTTTTACCAAACCCCACAGTGCCAAGGACAGGTACTGAAATGGTCTTGCTTTCCTTCAAGCAAGTCAGGTTGGAGATTTTGTAGTTCTGTGTTAGGTCATGGATTTGGGCATGAGCCTGGACACTAGCAGTGTTCTGGACATCCCAGGGACAGTTGTTTGTGTTTAAATGGGGGCTAAGAGGGAAGGAGGCATTGAGGATGATGTTGAGGTATTAAGATGTGAGGGTGGTGAAGACCAGGAGAAGGAGCGAGAATTTTGAAAGAAATTGGTGGGGTTTATATTGGGATATGTTGAATCTAAGGTGCCTGCAGGACATCTCAAAGGAGATGTCCAAAATCTGTTTCGACTGATGGGTCTGGAAGTCAAAAGGAAAGTCAGGGTTGGGGATAGCATTGTGGGAGTCACTGGGGTATTGGTGGTGTCACTTCGGAAGAGTGTGTGAAGGAAGAAGACAAGACATCTGGAACCGAGGGAAATACTAGCATTCTCAACACAGACAGAGGAAGAAGAAGAATGAAGGAGGGTGAGAAGCAATAGTCCAAGATGGATCGCAGGAAAAGTAGGAGGGGGTGGTGCACAGAAATTAACAGAATTTCAAATTTCAAGTTGTCAATGTTATCGTTGCTACCTAGGTAAAAGAGGATGAGTAGTGAAGAGAAGCTTTGAGATCTGGGAATCAGGAGGTCCCAGGTGATCTTTTGAAAGAAATCCCAGCAAGACAGGAGGGTGAAAAGCTAGAATGCGGGGACTGAGGGGAGGGCAGGAAGTAGAAACAGAGGTGAAAAGAAAGGAAATAAGGTAGCTTGAGAAGCAGACAGAGTTGGGGGATTGATTTTAAGTATGGAAGACATTTGCACAAGTGTATTTGGGAGAAGAGGTTGATGATAGAGAAAAGAGAGGTGTGGTAGAGTGAGCATACTGAGAAGGCAGAGGGAACCAGTTGAGCCTAAACATAAAAGGCACTTCCTCTGAGGAGGGAGGACAGGAAGGTCTCCATATAATGTTTGGAGGTAGGCAGGGTGCCAGTTTGGGACAGTTTGTCTTTTGTGTCTCTTACCCTTTTTGAAGTAGGAGGTGATAAGAGATTTAGGCACTGGGTAAGTGGAACTGAGGAGAGAAGTGAGGACTTTAATCACTGAGGATAGTGGAAGAGGAAGCCAACAAGAAAAGAAATGATAAGAGAAAAGACAGCAGGGTGCCCCCGAGGTTAGTGGTCACTGAAGCGACACCAGATAACATGGCTTTGGGATGGCTGGATTGACCTAAGGTTAATGGACAGTCGTGATGCGGAGGGAATTAGGCCCTAGTGATACTGTTACTGGAAATGATGGGAAGCTGGGCCGGCCCTAGGGACTGATGGAGCGGGGCTTGGGGAGTTCAGTGAGGCTGGAGAGCATGCTCAGAAAGAGTGAGAGCTAGTTAGAGCAGGGGTCAGTCATTGCAGATGAAGGTCTCTAGATGGAGAAGAGGTCTGGGTATGGTACTCGAACTGAAAAGAGAGGTGAAGGTGATTGGCACTAAAGAGATGGAGGAAGAAGAGGCCAAGACAGTGACTGGGACATTGGTTAACTAGATGCTGGCAGGGTGAGTTGGACACTTGCCCAAGTCCTGGATACATGGGAGAGTTGATAGGAGATGGATGCAAGGGATGAGGGAAGAGGAGGGCAGTTGATGAGGATGGGAGTTTTACATGTGGGTGAAAGGACAGCAGTGGGGAGCTCAGAGCAGGCTTTTACATTGAGGTTATGGTAGAATGAATGGAACTCTTGAGAGGGCCACCAGGCAGGTGATCCTGAGGGAGAATTACCAAGCATTCAAGCCTGAAACAGATAAGAGTATAGGGAATCCAGAAACCTGGATAAGAGGAAGGGGATCAGCTGGTGGGGGGAGGGGACAAGAGCAGGGGAAGGGATGTGAAGGTACCAAGGTACAAGGAAATGAGCATATGGGAGACCTGAGGCTAAAGACCCATGGCTCCAAGCCCTTCAACCTGTCCGAAGAATGAGAGAGAGGGAGTTGTCATTCAGATGGAAGACGTCCACAGAAATGACCTTTTGGGCTGTTGTCAGATTGTGTTTCAGATGCAGCGATTGCTGGAGACAAACTGTAACACAGATCCGGGCTCCCCCTGGAGTATCAGATTCACCTGGGAGCCTAACTTCTGGACCAAGCAGCTGGCTTCCCTTGGTGAGCCAGAGCCCACCCTGTGGGCTTTTACATAATTACTAAAAATGAGTGGAGCGCATCTGCTTAGCTTACTGGGTAGGTCAGTGTAGGCCCAAGAGAAAGCACTCCCTGAGACTGCCAGTGGTCATGGAGTCACTCACAGACCTCTGTGTGTGTGTTTGGGGGTGGGGGTGTTGGGGAGAGGGGACAACTTCAATAGCAGTGGCAACCCAGGACTCTTGTAACAGGACCAGTTGAAATCTGAGCTTTCCATTCTGCATGAATGCCCTGTTACCTTGGTTTCATTGCTGGAGAGGAGACAAGACAGTGGCCCTGTTCTCCAGAATGCTGGATGGCAGTGCAGGTGAATGTGTGTCTCTGTGGTCCTACAGGGGTATTCGTGTGTGTAGGCACAAAATGGGTATCAGCATTAAAGAGAGGGAGGGAGGGAGGGAAAGGGGCCATGTCACCCCCCCCCTTGGAGTTGAGATATAAGCAGATAATTTCTGAGCTTCCCTGCTGCAGTGATTTCCTGGTGTTCAGTCTTAGGCAGAGTGTAGACAACTTGAGGTTGTACCTGTGTTGCTGGCCTGATGTAGGTTTGTTATGCTAATGGCTACCGGCTGCCTTCATCTGGGTGGTTAATGTCCAGGAAAGTTCCTTGAACTTGACAGAGTGCAGCATAATATTTAGGTTTATATTTTGCTTCTCTTTCCCCTTTGATTTAATTCAACAGACCTTTGGTGGGCCCCCGCTGTGGGCCCGCACCCCATGCTGGGCACTAAGGGACCAAAGGTGAATAGAACACACCTCTGGCCCTCAAGTTGCTGAGTCTTGCCCCAAGTAAGCCTCATCAAAACAATGAGCTGAAGAAGCCACAAGACTGAGCTGGAGACTCATGCGCGAGGGCCGGGAGACCTCAGGACGAAGCTAGCACTTGTCACTGACATGATGTTGGGGCTCCCCGACTACTTCCGTCCTCCTTGCCCAAAACACAACCCCCCAGACCTATATTTGGAGACTTGATCATTTGTCCCAGGGTGGGCTCTCTCCTTTGCAGTTTCCCAGCATGCTATCTCCCCAGCCCCAACGTCGATTTTGTTTGTTTGTTTGTTTGTTTGTTTGAGTCTGTGTTCAAAAGGAGTGGGTGCTGTTTGAAGGAGCCCATGGTTTCTCTAGTGGGATACAAACAGAGTGAGGACTGAGCATCTGGAAAAAGCTGAGCTAATTTCTCAAATGCCCTGGCCCCCACAGGTCCACACTCATTCTATTGCTGGCAGCATTCTAGGCCGAGTCTTGGAGATCAGGGTTGAATTTGCTAATCTCTGCGCCTGGTACAGGTTTATTGGATGATGTCCTTTGGTCCCAGGAGCAGGAAGCGGCAAGCGGGCAACAAGTGCAGATTACCTTTGGAAACACTCTCTGTTCTGAATTTCCAGGCTGTATAACTACTGAAGGTGGACAGCTGTCCCGGGCAGATTCTCCTGCTTATGGAGGCTTACAGGGACCGTCATCCTTTTATCAAAGCCACCAGTCCCCAGTGGCTCCGCAAGAGACTCTTAGCCACCCCTCGCACAAGTTCCAGTCTCCAGCACTGTGTTCCTCCTCTGCCTGCTGCTCCCACTGCTCCCCAGCCTCGCCCTCCCTCAAAGGCCAGGTCCCCCCACCCAGCATACACCCAGCCCACGGCTTCAGGCAGCCCTCTGAGATGGCACGGCAGCAACTGGGGTCTCTGCAGTGCTCTCCCCTGCTGCCCAGGGAGAAGGAGCTGGCTTGCAATCCTCAGCCCCCAAAGCTGATGCAGCCCTGGCTGGAAAGCCAGCCGCCCGGGGAGCACGAGAACCCAGCCCAGCGGCTCGGGCCGCAGCTGACTTCCCAGCCCGTGTGCATCGTGCCCCCGCAGGATGTTCAGCAAGGGGCCCATGCCCAGCCCCCCTTGCAGACCCCCTCTATCCAAGTGCAGTTCGGCCACCACCAGAAGCTGAAGCTCAGCCACTTCCAGCAGCCGCCGCCGCAGCAGCTGCCCCCCCTGCCCCCTCCGCCACCTCCACCCCAGCAGCCGCCGCCACCTCTACCTCCGCCCCAGCAGCCGGCTTCGAGTCAGCGTGGCAGCCCTCCTGGGCCTGCCTGTTCCCAGAACGTGGATATAATGCACCACAAATTTGAGCTGGAGGAGATGCAGAAGGACCTGGAGCTTCTCCTTCAGGCTCAACAGCCCAGCCTACAACTGAACCAGACCAAATCCCCTCCGCATCTTCAGCAAACCATTGTGGGGCAGATCAACTACATTGTGAGGCAGCCAGCGCCCGTCCAGTCCCAGAGCCAAGAGGATGCTGTGCAGGTGAGCCTCAGGGTGGCTTGGGGCCAGGGAACATGTCTCGGCAAACACAGCCTCCCCGATCACGGGGTGGCACGGGAACACGGTTTCTTCATCTGAGGGTGGCCTTGAACTCAGCACTCACATTTCAAGTCCTCCCTGGACTCTACTGCCCATCTCCGGAAAGTTCCCGAAAACACAGTAGTCCCGGCAGAGATCTGGGCTCAGTACTCCCCAGAGTAGCCTGGCTTAGCCCTGCCCTCCTAGAGGACACTAGGGACCTTGTCCATCCATAGAACCTTCTGAGCTGTGCCAGACTCCTGCCACTGCTGGGACAGAAGGGAGGCTGTCTCATCTTTGTAACCTCCCACTTCCCTTGTGGGGAACGTATGACTCTCAGATGGAAGGGGAGAGCTGAAGGAGTGGAGAGAGGGTATGCATCAGATACTAGTGGGCCGCATCTTTTTAACACCACGCAGCTATAGACTTAAAATTTGTTTCAAACCTCCGAAGCTAGGTATGTTTTGTATATACTGTATTATTTATCCGACCAACAGTGTTAGGTAGGCATTGCCATCTGTTTTTTATAGGCACAGAAGTGAGGGTTGGAGAGGGCAAGCACTTTGCCTAGAGATCATAGAACATTGAGTGACAGAGCCAAGACTTGGATCCCGGTCTGCTGACTGTAGTGGGAGAGGCCTCGTTCTCTCCCTAGGCGGGTGATGAATGCTGCTCCTCTCTTCTCTCCGCTAAGAGCCAATTGAGGAGGTGCAGATTGTACCTCTGGGATCTTTGCTGCATTCCACATCTTCATCCGTAACCCGTGCTTTTCTTTTCTTCCAGAGTTTCCCATTCTAGCCCCTTCTCCCTATCCTTTCTCACTTTTCCCCCCATGGTGTCTCCTTTAAATCTGTAATCACATTTATATCTTCAAAGCAGCTCTATGGACTTTTACTTTATTATAAAATATGAGGCCTCCCATTTATGCTTTAGCACTGACAATGTCAGATCCTGCTTCAAATGTCTCCCTCTGAGGCTCAGTTCCTTTGAGGAGATAGGAAATCATCCTGAGGATGGCAGAGAAAGGTCCAGGGTTCATTGAGGACCACAGGCGAACTGTAAGTCAAACATGTTAGGATTGCTTTGGTGAATATGACAGAGTTAGCCCAGAATTCTCGGTCTGGGTTCTATCCTAAGACTGTCATATTAAGAGGTAGTCTCACGAAGAGTTTAGAAGAGAGGGTCTTTCTGAAAAATTTTCCAGCAGTTCACAATGCGTAGTTGGTGACAATAGGCAATGCAGGGTGGGCATCAGCCTTTGCCGCCGTTGTTGCTCTTTGCGGGAAAACCCACCCAAGTTCTTATTTGCTCCTTCAGGCTTCAGAGGAGCCCCCAGCATCGGAAGGCCCAAAGCCAGCTCTCCCTCTTGACAAGAATACGGCTGCTAGCTCGCCCCAGGCGCCTGGGGAGGAAACCGCTCCCGGTGCACCCGCACTGGACGGCACCATCCGGCACCCCTCTCCAAATGTGGTGAGAAAGGTACTAATGGAGCCTGCTTTTCCTGACCGCAAGGGACCCACTGCCAGCCAAGACCCCAGGGGCCTGGATGAGGATGACTGGGTGGGGGAAGGAGTGTCCCCGTTCCATCCCTGGATATTACACAGCCCCGACTCAGGCCTTCTGGCCTAATGAGTCAGCAGCGTAGGTCCTCCTTCACGCCCATTTCCACTCCCGCACGCACACTTCAAACGGGACCAACTGGGCTTCGTTTAGAATGGAAGGGGGAAAGAAAGCCAATTTATGACACACTTACACTGTGCCTGGAATGGTGCCTGGGGCTTCACGGTTCTGTGAGGCGGCTGTCCCCATTTTCTAGCTGAGGAAACTGAGGTCTGGGGCCCTATAGCTAGTACATGAGAGGGCTGACATTTATTTAAAACAAGGTTTGTCAGAATCCAAAGACTGAACTGTTTTTTCTCTGCAACAAAAATGAGGAAAATATTTTATGTGGCTGCATGACCCAAAGTTGATTGGCTTGAGAATTTGCATCAGTGGAGTTTGTCGGGTGAGTGGTCTGCACGGGTGTCCTCCGGGGGTAGCTGAGCAGCTAGGGCTGCTGAGAGCTCTTGAAGATAAGCTGCTGGAGCCCTTCCTGTCCACCGATTTACCTGCTTGCTACAGGTGTTCGTTTACTCTGGCGATCAGCCAGAACCCCACAACTCGTCGGCTGTCCTCCCCTTATCCCTGCCCTTCACCCTCCCCGCTGTCATCCTCCTAGCTGGAACCTCACTCGGCCCTCCCTGTCTTTCTTGGCCCTGTTCCACTATCCTGTTGCCTTCTCTGGTCTGGTACCCTCGGGCCTCCTGGCGCCTCCTCTTAGCCATGCACTTGAAGCTGTGTCAGGTGTTGGGTATCCCTCAGCCTGCACACTCAGCCCTGCATAAGGCTCTGGCTCTGCAGCCCCAGTTCCACAGCTGTTCTGTGTACCTGCCCCTCACCGTGTTTCCCCCAGCACCATCGCCACGTATATCTTAGTCTATCCCTGTGATACATGAGAAGAGACTTCAGAAAAGTAAGGGATGGCAAAGATGAAATTGTAACTTGGAAATCCCTGGTGGCTCTTGAAATCTGGCTAGGCCTCTGGTATTGGTGGGTTTTGGTCTGTGCTGGGCCTGTCCTGCCCTGTCGGAAACGGTTTGGCCTAGAGGCCATAGAGATGCTATAAATGGGCCCTTTGTGGCTCTCATGAGTTTAACTTTTTATACTTGGGCTACTTACCTACCCATCCATCCAGTTATTTATTCACTCAATATTCAAAAAATATAGATTTGTCTCCTAGTGTGTGCCAGATGTTTTCCTAGTTGTCAGGCACATATCAGTGAATAAGAGTCTCACATTGGACGTTACAAACTAGTAGAGAGACAGTTAAATAAGCAACAACAATAAATGTGATAAAGTGCTGGGATAGTCACTGGGGTGTAGAGAAGGAGCACATAACACTGGAAAAACTGTTCACAGAGGACTTCCTAGGGGACATGCATGATTTTAAGCTGAGGTATGAAGAAGTTAGGCTACTGAAGGGGGATGAGGGAGAGGGTTAGACTAAATAATCAAAGGGAATGGCTAGTAGGAAGGCCCAGAAGTGAGAGAAAGCCTGGGGCACTTAGGGGGGTTTCAGATAACTTGGCCTGGTGGGAACATGAGGTGGACTGGGGAATGGGAATGGAACCAGAGTACTTGGAAGGCCTTGTAAATTATGCTCTAGAGCTTAGCATTCAGTCTTGGGGGTTGTGAGGAGTGAAGGGAGGAATTCTTAGCAAGGAGGGATACAGTTTGAATTAAATTTTAGAAAGGTCACTTTAGCTGTAGGAAGGGAGACCAAAATAGTACAGAGGGGAACGAGGAAAGGTTGAATGGAACCTGTAACAATGGGTATAAGGAGGAAGCGTGGACTTCAAGAGATCAGATCACAGGAGCTTTTGGACTTGGAGTCTGATTGGTGATAGGAAGTGAGGGAGAGAAAGTCCTTTGGCTTGACACCCAGGTCTGTCTTGCCCACTGGGTTGCCATTCACTGAGATGGGAGCATGGGAAGAAGGGCCTATTTGGGGGGAGGAAAAAGTTAAATTTGAATTGTTGGTGTTCTCCTGTGGAAGCTACATAAGAAGATGCCCAGAAGGTAGCTAGCTCTGGATGTCAGTAGTTCAGAAGGAAACACGGGGATTGCCAGTGCTCAAGGGGTAGTAGAAGCCATGCAGAAAATGTCGCTGCTTCTTTAATGGGGCTTGCTTCTGTTCTTATACACAGTACAGAGGAGAGGAGGTGAGCCATGTGCAAACGTGGAGTCTGTGCTGCCCGTGCGGTGGCCCACAGGGCTCTCTGAGCATCAGGGGATGCCACCCGACTGTGTGGCTATCAGTTGGCAGTGGGGTTAGTGAAGGTCCTAGGAGCTCTTAACTTTTCTTTTTGAGCTGCCCCTGCCCCTTATTAACCTGGGTTCAGGGAGAGGTTCAGAGGGACAGGTGGCCTGGCCCTTTCCTGATGTTTTATAGGCCTCTTCATGGTTTGGACTCCCCAAAAAAGGAACCTCAGTGTTGCCATCCTGGCCCAGAGGAGCCTTTGGGTCTGCTTGGCTGAGAGAGGTACTGGTTAGACCCAAAGCTACTAAAATAAGAAAAAGGGCTTTCTTTTTGAGGGAATTCATTGCCTTGAAGCTGGGATTGGGTATGGCGGAGGGCGTGATGATTGAGGACACCGAACAACATTTTGAGCATCTTATCATTGAATGATAATACTTTGCATAGCATTTTTCTACCTGTTCCCTTAGATTTTTACATGGATTATTCCATTTTATCTCTTTGTTTATCCTAGAAGTACTATGAGGAAGCCACTTTCATATTCCCCTTTGAAAGATATGGAAACTGAGACACAGAGGTTAAGTGACCCACCTAGGAGCTATACAGCAGAGCATTGGCACAGTTAGGACCAGAGCATGGATTCCTGACCGTGGCAGTGCCCCAGGGGCTAGGTTAGATGGCCTCTCCTTGGGCACTGCAGTGGGAGAACCAGGACTCCATCTGGCCTCTGACTTGCTGGATTTTCCTCTTTACACTCGTTGGAGTAGCCCGAGGCCCTGCCAGGGAGAGGGCTTAGGACCCAGCCTCGTCTGGTTATCTCTGTCTGGTCGAAGTGTTTTAGCCTCCAGCCTACTCCTGAGCCTGTTCTGACCTGCGAGGACCGGGGAAGTCAGAGGTCTGTGTGAAGGCCACGGACCTGAGGAAGCTGCGGCACCAGGCTCCTCTGTGGGTGTTCTGCAGGGACTCATTCACGCTCTGAGCTGCCGACTGATGTTCCATCTCCATGAGGAGGACTTCGGTTACAGCACAGCTGCTGTGCACACGTACTTTCGAGTTGGTGCTAACTGAGCTGCTGGTGAAAAGTGAGATAGGGAAGTTTTCGAATGGGTTTTCTAGTGCCTTGAGCTCTGCAGTCTCAGAAGCAGCTTCCCCCACTACCTTCCCTGCGTTCAGCAGGGTGTTCTGGAATGAATTTTGACATCTGTCTGGCCCTCGTGGTTGCCTCATCTTGGTTTAGCCACTCTGAAGAGAGACCACGGTTACAGCGTGACCGTAGAAGGTCTTACATCCCCGTGGAAACCGGAAGACATTTTGACGACTTCATCTGTACCTCTGAACAAGTCGACTGCTGAAAAACACACACACTCTCTTCCTCAAAGCTTTCGTGGAGTCAAGGCTGTAGGCATCACAGAGAGCTGTCCGAGCCCTAATTCAGCTGCGAGGGGGACCTCTCTTCTGCTCACATGTGGTCCACATCCCCCACAGGGGACTGAGAGACCACCAGAATACTGCTTATAGCTTCAGAGGAGTCTGAGATGTATTTTTAGCAAATGGTGCCTAAGCAGTAGGCATTCCTGTGGTCCATGTTAGTAAGAGTGATGCAGAAGAGGATGGGATAATGACTCACACGAAGAGCATTCACATCATTACCAAAGCACTCTGATGCCTGAGCTCGTAATCTGATTCTTATAACTCAGAGGTACATTAACCTGTGGAGGAGGAAATTGAAGCCCAGAGATGGGAAGTATCTTGTTTAAACTCATGCTCTAAATCCCGGCTTATGTAAGGAAATACAGGGTGTCCTGCCTTCACAGTCTCCAGATCCACATCTGTGGGCCAAATCATGGCTTCTCAACTCCAGCAATGATCATTCCCTCAAAGCCTGGCCTCAACAGCAGAGCTTGCTCAGAACCCTCCCAGGCCTCAGGAGGCTTTCTTAGGGCACAGCCTGGGTTCTGGTCAGCAGTTGCAGAACTGTATAGAGATCTGCTCTGTCCTGTTCAGAGGCCAGCCAAGTATTCCCCAGGTCTGGCTCCCTGAATTTTACAGCCTCTAGGAACTAGGCTCTTTCCTCAGTTCTAGCCTCATTTCACTCACTCATTTCACCAAATCCAAGATCTTTGTCAAGGTCTCCTGGTCCATGAGAAAACAGGTCCTTGTTCCTGGGCCCTAAATTTCCTTACACTGGCCTGGCCAAAAATATCTCTGGTCTCATTCTCCTAGGTCTCCAAGGCTTGGGTTTTGAGGGTTCCACTCATTCTTTTCTCTTCCTTCCCCCTCAGACTCTGGGATCCTCTTTGCTTTTTCTGTCTTCCCTGAATCATCAGGGTGCTGGGCACCCTTCAGTTTTTCTCTCTTCACCACCCATGAATATTTTCCCATTTGACTCTGGTCAGTTAGCATATATTACCATAGTTGCATCCACAGGAATAGCCTTAATTTGTACAAGAGCTTTTCATTCAGCTGGGGAGAGTGCTCACTGTCATTAAGAACAACAACTTTGCTATTAAAAACCAACTCGTGAAACCACCTGCTAGGAAAGTTAGTTCTTTCCTCAGGTATCTGATTCAGTTGTTTGAAGATCTACTAATGTTCAGCCAGTCTACCTGATCTGAAGCTGTCGAAACACTCAAATATTCCAAGATTTAATTCACAAATCTGTTTACCTCAATCCTTGTCTCCT